GAGGGGGAGGAGGGAGGGAGAGAGAGAGGTGAGTTCATGGCATTGTTAAAGGTTCTGCGTGTAAGCGGATAAGGTTTAGTAATCCAATAACCAAACTCTATTCCTACTGCCCTGGGAATTTGGTACAACACAGAAAAATAGGTTTCAGATGGACTTTCCACATCAAACCCCAGAATTCCATCAGATCCACCCAGAAGCAAGTTACTGCCTTCAACCAAAGCCGCCCGGGCCACTGAGTCCCATACAATAAGATACTAAGCTGACTTTTCAACAGACACTATGGAAGCCAGAAGACAGCTAGACAAACCGCCAATCTGGACCACCACGCTCTGGACACACTATCCTTCAGAAGTGAAGGTGACAGCCAGTAACAGTACACATGAGAGAACGGGGTCATCCAAACCACAAAAGGCTTTCTAAAGCCAAAGCCAGAGACTTAAAATTAAATGCAGACAGTCCCGGACTTACAGTGGTTCAACTTACGATTTTTCAACTTTACGTTGGTACAAAAGTGATCCATGTTCAGTAAACACCAAACTTCAAGTACCCGCAACCATTCTGTTTCTCACTTTCAGTACAGTATTCAATAAATTCCATGAGATATTCAACACTTTATTATACAATAGGCTTCGCGTTAGATGATTCTGCCCAACCGTAGGCTGATGTAAGTGTTCTGAGCATGTCTAAGGTAGACCAGGCTAAGCTATGACGTTCGGTAGGTTAGTGTATTAAATGCATCCTCAACTTCTATTTTCAACTTATAATGGGTTTATCAGGACATAACCCCATAGCAAGTCAAGGAGCATCTGTACCTAATTACAATTTTATTTTTTAGCATATTATTTACAGTTAAATTTATGCCACAGGGAAATTATATCTTACTGCTTTATGTGATATTGAGGCCTTTGCATAGTCCATCTGATGGATACATTTATTCCCATTTCAGGAGAATCACAGAATGTTTTTCCATTCAATTATCAAATAATTTATAGTTATTAAATGAATAGACATGTCTTTGCTTTTATGATATACTCCTGGCATATCTGGCTGATAAATCCTTACTTTAAAACCAATGTTTGGACATAGAAAGGCAACACATCATTGTGGTCTAATGACTTGACCTTTGAAGTCCAACTGCCTAAATTCAAATTAACTAGCTGTGCGACCTTAGGCAAGTTATCTAATCTTTCTGTGCCTCAGTTTCTTTATATAAAATTGGGATAATAACAGTATCTACTTCATGAGATTGCTGTGAAGATTAATTAAGTTAATGCATGTAGAATGCTCAGAAGAGTGTCTGCACACACAGTAAGGACTCTGCAAATTGTAGTTGTCATTCACATAGGGAACTGTGACATCTCGTGGCTGTGCATTTTAAAATGTGGGTCCCAAGAAAACACTGAATTGGAAAGTGGGGACTGCCTGAATGTAGGTCTTCTTGTGAAAACAAAAATTCTGCCTTCAGGGAAAGACAGATGTGGAGTGTAAATTGTGAATCCTATCCTTAGAGGCTAACTCTTCCAAAACACTGCCTAAGCACGCTTCTTTCCCAAACCTGTACTCCAGCCTAAGAGAGAACATTTTAAATGGGAGACTAGATCAGCCACTTCTAAGTTCCAAGAAAACCAGAGAAATGTGAAGTTCATTTTTACTATTTTTCCATCCTACTACCCACAGAAAACAGCCACACAGATTTGCTTCAAACTTTCCCCCAAACACTCACCTCTGGGCAGAGTCCAAGTATAAGGAACACAGCCAAAGACTATTTTAAGAGGTAATTTTAACAAATGGATAAAGGTTTTTTCAACATGACCTACAGCATTTACAGATGGAATTATGTTCCATGCATGTGTGGGTAGTTACATATACACACACACAGCTACATTTTTATTAAGTGCTATTTGATCCACTTGGAAAAAGCCTGTTTGCTGGGATTCATTTGGGAACTTACCACAGACTGAAGCTGCTTCAACTTGGAAAAAGCTGAAAGAATCTTCAGGAAATACTTAATAGTGCCATGTAAACCCCATCTAA